CTGCGTCTGCGTCGGCAAGTGTTGCAACCTCCAGGAGAAAATGCAAGCGTACCTCGACAGTTTGGGATCACTTCGACATAATTGACGAGGTGGATAATGAAGGTAACACTAAACATATAGCTCAGTGTAAATATTGTTTATCTAAATTACAAGGTGATACTATTCACGGCACCACACACTTGAGATGACACTCTGAAAAGTGTCTTCAAAAGCTTAGCCAATCTAGCGGACCCGAACTCCGCCAAACACAATTATCTTTTGATCGCGCAACCGGTGGTCTAACTACTTGGAAATACGATCCGCAAGAAGATCATATGGAAGTTGTGCGAATGATAGCTGCTTTAGATCAACCATTTAGTTTTGTAGAGCATCCTAATTGGCAACGATATATTAAGGTTGTACACAATCCTAATGCACAGTTCACTTCAAAAACTACTCTTAGGAAAGATTTATTAAAATTATTTAAAAAAGAAAAAGATGCATTAATAAACCTTTTACACTCGACTAGCGGGTGCGTTGCGTTAACGGCAGATATTTGGTCTGCCATTGCCAATAAAGATTATTTAGCTGTAACCGGACATTACTTTAAAGGATTTGATTTAGATAAGAGAATATTAGGTTTTAAATGTGTTCTAGGATCACATAGCGCAGATTTAATATATAACACAATTTTAAATGTAATTGATGAATTTAGATTAAGAGATAAAGTAATGGCTATAACATTAGATAATGCTAGTGCCAATACAAAAGCAATTGAATTTTTTGAAAATGATTTAAGTCTATTCGGTGACGGTACTATTTTCCACCAACGTTGTGCATGTCATGTAATCAATTTAATAGTTAAATCCGGTTTAAAAGAAATAGGTAATCACATTAAAAGAATTAGAGATAGTCTTGCATGGATTCAAGGTAGTAACCAAAGACAAGAAGATTGGTTTAGGTTCTTACAAGCATTAAATATACCTCCTAGAGCATTAGCGTTAGATATGCCTATAAGATGGAACTCAACTTATATTATGCTTCAACAATGCATCCCTTATAAGAATGCTATAACAAACTATATGTGTACAAAATTAGGAGTAGGACATATAGA